TCGGGACCTTGCTTGTCATGAGCAATGCTCTAACCACTGAGCTATGGGACCAGGCTGAACCTAGACGGCGCTGACAAGTTGTTCACTCCAAAGGCAGCTCACAACACGTGCCACGCATACTGATGGCACTTGGGTCTTTTCTCCTTCCCCAGGGGACCAACCACGGTCAGTTTCTGGACCCTACCAGAAGTGAAAAAAGTGATTATTTTTTGAAAGGATTAGGAGAACTTCAAATTCAAAGGATCAGTCGGGGAAGTGAACTGCCTGAAAAGAGGAAAAATCGCCAGATCCACCAGTACTCGAACCCGGGACCTTGCTTGTTATGAGCAATGCTCTAACCACTGTAGCTATGTTATACTTTTAAATAATAGAAGAAATCACATGGAAAAGAGTTATGAAGCAACTATCCACGACTGTGACAAGACAATAAGCAGTCAGAAAGTGCGATAACAGGGCACAAAGCTGCCTTTTTTCTGAGACACTCAACGATCTGAGACCTGGCTCTCACACACCTCCAGTGCGCAAACCAACAGACTTCCAGCTTGAAAAGTTCACGGTTATGGCAGGACGCACTTTCTGACCGCTTATTATCTTGTTACCGTCGTGGATAGTTGCTTCATAACTCGTTTCCATGTGATCTCTTCTATTTTTTAAAATTTCATTTATTGGCTTAGTATCCGAGTTAAATATACATATACATGTACATAAATTGCACCAATGTGAGGTATATTAGACTTGGTTTAAATCGGAACACTTGACTTTTCCTGGCTGAGCGCTTTCAGTACTTCCTCCGTTATCAAAAACTTCGTGATGGATTTTTGAGGGACTGGTTTGCGCACAAACTGCCATGAAATGAGTCGTGATCACTTTCTCGGCCTTCCCTGGCATGCCATGAAAGAGGTATGATGCGAGGAAAGCAACCTTTCACAACAAGCCGAGCGGAATCGATGGTTGCGCTGTGGCAACATAGGTACTAGGTGATGACAGTCGTGGCGAGCGAAACTGAAATACCACTTCTCCAAGGGACAATGCGCTGCTTGGCCTCTCTACTACTCTAGCACTGAGTTAGAGAGGGATAGGGACTGATGGAACGGAGCAGCGAGCCCACACAATGACCGAGTGAACTAGGAGCTGATCCGATCGCACGGCGCAATGAAATAAATTTGAATTCAAGTTCTTGTTCAGCCTGCGCAAAGCCCAGATTCGAATGCTGATGACCATGCATTCGTTTAGAAGTCTGCAGTACGACGCGAGTCTCGTGGCTAAGGAAAGTCGACTGGACTTGCTAGCCGCTGCCGTTCAGTGCTGGTAAGAGTATCCATCAGAGAAATTGGAATCCGTTTGGCTGGGACTTTACTCCTCGTTTCGCGGAGTTCTGGAGAGCGGCGATAAAACCAGGGAGTCGTAACATATTTTTACAACTCCGTGGTGGAAACGAGTAATCGCCACCGCGGCAGATCATGCAGATTGAAAGCCAACTTACTTGAACCACAGCGACATCAAGTTTAGCGGAGTGTGATCAAAGAAGCCGAGGCAAGACTGAAACGAGCTGAACAACGACTCTAGAGAGCTGACGACTCGCGTGCAGCAGATGACGACAGCGACGCAGGGTCAAAAATGAGTCGAGCGAAAGCGACGCAAACTGAACTCTCTGCTCATTCCGCCAACAGTTTCTTTAGTAAAGATGCTGTACATAGGCTGAACTACCTTCGTCCAGTGATTTGCAGTCGATACAAACTGTTCTTGACCTGTTCTAAGCGTTTTCATATCCATCAAAATCCATCACGAAGTTTTTGTTAACGGAGGAAGTAGATATATTTCAATGTTCAACAGATTTCCGACAAAACGAATTTTGAGCATTTTGAGCCTAAGTGCTGATTTTGTTGATTGAAGCCCTCATGTTAGTTGTAGTGTGTTTTCAGGGAGTAATTTTAGGTTAGTATACCCTAAGTGAAACAATGTGCTCTTTCTGCTTACACAAAACAGGAGAGAGTGCAGCTATGGTGAGGTGGTTGATCAGAAAGAAGATCATGCAGTGCTGTTACAGTAGTGGCGAATCATTCACTTATAAGAGAAGTTCCGCACTACGTAAAGTTGAGCAACTTTACGTTAGCGGGCGGGAAAATCCCGTGAATTCGCGAGCTTGCACTCCTCTTGCTAGTCTTAGGGAGAGTTGTCTTCGTAGAGTGCGTAGATAGGGCTGTGATAACGCAGCTGGTCTGTAAGTGGAATGGGGTACACATTTCTGACTCTCTCCCCAGGTTGATCTGGTCGTAATGCCGATGCATGCCGCATTCGGAGTTGCCAAGGGCAGCTACGTGATTTGAAATCTCCGTATGGCGGAACACAGATGCGCATTCAGTTTACGTAAGACTTTCCGTAGATCGACTACGTTTTTTACTAACGTATTTACGTTATGCGGAACCTCTCTATTAAAGTCACTTGGCAGCGTCTGTTCTACAAACTAACACACCATCACGGGCATTGGAACCGGTGAGGTAGGTGCGGACAAACTCCGCCAATCATTGTATCTTGTGGTTTCGTAGGAACCACTTGCTGGTGAGCTGATCTACACACCTCCCACCGCTTTAGGAGCTGCATCTGCGCCTTGATCCTTGAAGGGTGGTGGCGTTCCTACGGATGCGGAAAACTCGGCCTCTAGCCGAGTCTGACGCGAACCGTGAATTTTTTGTAGCAATGACATATGGGCTATTGGGGTCCGACTTCCAAAAAAATTACGGAATAGGGTCCCTGGACCTTCCAGGTTGCGGCGTGGACTCTAGTGCAGTTTACACTGCGGAAAATGCAGTATATTTTCAAAATGTCTTACATTGGTTGCCGCACTCCGCACTATCTTCTCGTGTCACACCTCTCCTCTTTTGGTTCAAGTCTTCTTTGGTTTGTTTCCACAGCTTGTTGCCATCTGACGATTATGAAATTTATAATGCTGTACACACGCATCCACACATACGAACACATACGAACACATAAGCGCGCACACATGTTCTCTCATACACGCGCACACGTGCATACATGTGCATGCCCACACATAGTGAAAAGAGCAGAGGCATTGGCATTAAAATTCTCTTTTCGGGCAGTTCACTTCCCTGATTGTTCCGTCCAATTTGAGGGCTCACTGTTTTCTAGAAACAAGTGGGAGCCATTTTGTGCAACGCGGCCACAACTTGACCATCCCTAGGACCATGCATTGTTTATCTCAGTGTGACACATGCCTCCTCAAAGCCTCCCAAGGTAGCAGACGTAGACAATACAAGGCTGACGTTTTGCAGGCAAGATGTGAACAAAGGGATTTAATGAAGGATTTTTTTGACCACGGGAAACTGAAGACATCTCAAACTCCGTGCACTGTCTACGGCAACTCCTTGATTTAGAATAGGGTACTGTAAGTCGACAAAATTTCGGCCCATTCAAATTTCGGCCTCCCAGGGCTAAAACCCATTTAGGCTGCATCAAATTTTCGGCCTATACTACTGCCGCCTGTATACACGGTCAGACTGAACCTTGGAAAACAAAAGTTCGGCCCATTCAAATTTCGGCCTCCCAGGGCTAAAACCCATTTCGGCTGCATCAAACTTTCGGCCTATACTACTGCCGCCTGTATACACGGTCAGACTGAACCTTGGAAAACAAAAGTTCGGCCCATTCAAATTTCGGCCTCCTAGGGCTAAAACCCATTTCGGCTGCATCAAATTTTTTGCCTATACTACTGCCGCCTGTATACACGGTCACACTGAACCTTGGAAAACAAAATTTCGGCCCATTCAAATTTCGGCCTCCCAGGGCTAAAACCCATTTCGGCTGCATCAAATTTTCGGCCTATACTACTGCCGCCTGTATACACGGTCAGACTGAACCTTGGAAAACAAAAGTTCAGCCCATTCAAATTTCGGCCTCCCAGGGCTAAAACCCATTTCGGCTGCATCAAACTTTCGGCCTATACTACTGCCGCCTGTATACACGGTCAGACTGAACCTTGGAAAACAAAAGTTCGGCCCATTCAAATTTCGGCCTCCCAGGGCTAAAACCCATTTCGGCTGCATCAAATCTTCGCCCCGTACTGCTGCCGCCCGTATACACGGTCACACTGAACCTTGGAAAACAAAATTTCGGCCAAACATGACCAGGGCGAAAATAGCCGAAAACTAATATGCGCCGAATATTTGTTTACTTAAAGTATGCTGGTGGATAAGCTACTTTTTCAAGTAGTGTTGAGGAAGGAACTAGAAAGCATCACATCATCCATCCAGGTACTCACTGATGCTTCGAGCAAGCGAGATGAACACCATCGGAGTTACTGAAGGAATTTTCGATTTTGACTTTGGGAAACGGAAATGTGTCAAGCTCCGTAAATTGTAAACAGCGATCCCTTGAACTCGGATGGTGAGCCAATAATTATAGTTATGATGAAGACTTGCTGACTGTATAAGATCTGGTTACGTTGGTGGACAGTTTGTCATAACTCGTATCATTTTGTCCTTTACCTTTCTTCATCATAGCAATCTCTTGGTTTAGATTAAATTCGTTGGGGGATAAGCAAGTGTCAAGGAAGGACCTGGAAAGCAGCACATCCGACATCCATGTATTCGCTGATGATTCCAACAAGCAAGGTGAAAACGGCCATACGGGCGGATTTCACACCTGGAGCAAGGAGAAATATCAGCCAGTAACATATGTGCTAGCCAACACACTAGGGGCCAGTGGAAGTGAAGAAAATCAAGCGGACACAGACGTTGTATTTCTTGCTGGCCGAGCACAGCGAGACAGGCGAGAAATGATTTCTCGCGAAACATTTTCGGTTGCGAATATGGCATCTGATGTGTTTTATATTGTCCTTTCTTTTCCTGACTTCTTCAGTCAGTTTTGAGTCTCACCAGTGTCCCTGCCCTCCCACCTTTCATTTCTGTGCATCTTATTGTTGCTATTTTATCACTTTTTGCCGTGATGAGAACTTGCCATGCCTACATGATGCCTAATCGCCATTGGGGATATACACCCGGCTTTTTCCCTCACTACTGCGTCCGTCGGCTTGGGTTTTTTCCCGGCTGGCTCGGTCCAGGAAAATTAATCTGACGGTCGCAAGTTCTGCATCATGGCCTGTTTCTGCTATCCGCTTGCACACCTATTCAATTTGAGCCACTCCGTTCTCAGTTCTTGCTTCCATACCTCACTCGTATCCGGTTCTCATCTGGCTGCGGCCAACTACCCTTCACTTTGGGTGTTGTCGCTATTGCTGTCTATGTCTCTGTGTGTGCCAGTATATGTGGAGGGAGAACATTATGTGGTATACAAGGGATGAGGTATACAGAAGTCACCAATTGGCATTGTAGTCGGCGATGATGCCACAGTCTGGCGGCAAGAAAGGTCATATCTTTGAGCTTACTGCTCTATTTAGCACAGAGGCAACTTTCGTCAGGTGATAGCCGCACATATTGAATATCGCGCTCAGGAATGGTACGACCGAAGCTTTTGCCCTGGGAGGGGCAACGAGCGGATTTAATGTGTTCCAGTCGGGTACGTCCACCATGTGAAACCGTCGTACTATAAATCTCTATATGTCTTAGAAAAGAACCTGAGCACATCTCCATCTCTTCCAACAAGAGTTTGTAGAGACTAGGTGGTCACACATTCATGCTACACTGAACCGATGGAGTAAGCATGGACGTGCAAGCTTGGCCACAAGGTGCTGGAATACCTTCCCAAGTCTGACAGCCACTATTCAATCTGGACGGAAGTAGTGGAGATGGCAGCCAATTCCGAAACTAATGTCCACTGGGTCCTCCTGTTTGAGATGCTCGATTATATGTTTATTTTTTATTCATACGAACTGAGGAGCAAGAAGCGTGTGTTCCTCATAGGAACAACCAACTTCAATCTCATAGCATATGCATAGCAGCACTAAAACGGGGAGCAAACCTGGAGAATACCCGGCCATGAACACAGTACAAACAGAGAAGATTGCCTGATCATGCCTGGTTTATCTAGATGCCAGATGAGCGATGCGGAGCTCGGGTTCGGCAGCGGGTTCCTGGCTCAAGTATGGCAAGTGAGAGTGATAATGGATATCAACTTGGTCAAACTCAGGGTCACAGCACCTGAGCTTGCGTTGCCGATCACAGCTGCTGCCACGGAGACTCCATCCTAGCTCCTTGCGCCTCTCAGGTCATTTGATGTCCATCACGCATACACTGGTTTGGTTTGGTTTGGTTTGTATTGTTTCAGTTCAACACTACAAAGTACACATATCAAGAGGGAGTGAACGAAAAGAGAAGGCTGGGCAGAAGGGAAATCCCCCGGCATGCGCTGTCACCCCATATCTCTCTCGTGCAGCCTGCACCTCCACTACTGGTATCACCATAAGCACCCCAGCAAGCAAGGCCGGAACCATATAGGACATTGTCCACTTCACATGCCTCGATGAAGCGACCGTCAACTTAAAGGGACACTCCGGCTTCATTTTTGATGCCATGTTTTCTATGCCAATAAGAAGGTAGGTGAAAGAGAAGACCCCTCGAGCAAGAACGAGCCTCTAGAAGCAATCAAGTCGAGCAAGAAGACGACTTTTAAATTTCGCTGAGCGAACCCTGATGACGTCGTAATGGGGGATTAAGTTGCCGGTGGAATGCATGGGCACATACATTTTGGAGAAATTTTTCAATCAAAGAGGAAGTTGTTTGCTATGTTCTGTCAAAGTTGTGAGCAATGCCGTCTTCTGTACCCTTCAAATTATCCTGAAGGTCCTCCCAGGGAGAATTTATCTCATTGTAAATATATAGTACATACCATATTTCCGCGCATATAAAGCCATGGCGTTATATCCGAATATAACGCCACCCTCACTTATAAAGCCATGGCGTTATAAGTGAACAAAATTCAATGTGGAGGAAGTTGCATCCGGCGTTAAAGGTGAGTTCAATTCCTTCAGTGAACCTACAGTGCGGTGATTCTCTCTACATGTACCCATCCCCACTGTCACATGCCATACCGCCATCGCACCTTCACACAAGTTTGTATGCCACCTTGTACACAATAGGTTCACAATTTGAAATTTTCATGGAAAATTGAAAGTATATGGATGCTCGACATGAGCGTGCAATGGCACCGTACGAGTACTCGAAGTTCATACTCTGCCGATTTTTTTGCATGTAAGCGTCTCTCACTTTTAGCGCCATGGCGTTAAAACCGAGGCTATTTTCTCCAAACATTTGGTCCAAAACAGCGATGTTTCACCTATAACGCCATGGCTTTATATGCGCGGAAATACGGTAATATAAATACATTGCACCAATTTGAAGTACATCTTGTATATCCGTGTATTAGACCTGGTTTAAATCGAAATAGTTGACTTTTTCCTGGCTGAGGGCCTTCAGTAGATATGTTTCAACTTTCAACAAATTTCTGATATAGCTGCACGAATGTATGAGTGAGAACAACTTTGAACGTCCCTTTCACTCGAATCTACATTGGTTGCAATGTGGTATGACATAAGTACCACATTCATTCTCTGTATTTACATTACTGTAAATATACAAATTTTCGGCAGCTATTTAATTTTGGCTATATTCGGCACCGACCCAAAACGCCTAAATTAAAACGCCGATGAAATTTTTCACAGCATCTGTCGCAATACCATGCCCTCTACCCCACGCCGAGAATAAATCGCCTCCGAAATGTCAAAAATCGTGAAGTGCCGAAATTTTGCAGCGCCGAAATTTTGTATACTCACAGTGTTCGATTTGTTTCTTCGCGTCGACTCGTTAATTATCACATTTTAGTTCGGTGATCTAAAATTGAGAGACTTGAGGAGTTGACGTCTCCGGATTCCTGGTACTGTATATTGATTTTATCCTGATACGAGTCACAAGTATTGCCAAAAAGAAGGGACAAACATGTTCCGGTTATTCACCTGTTTTTGGCAGTACTCGACACACTAGGAAAGGGTTCCCACACTGGAGCTCGCGCTTTTCCGCCGACGTCACTTATACTGGACTCGTGGAAGGATAAAATCAATATGCCAGGAATCGGGAGGCGTAAACTCTTCAAGTCTCTCAATTTTAACCAAATTGGGAGACTTGTCAATTTAAACCAGAAATAAAGATCTAAGTGAATTGTTAATGGTGATGGTAGGCACTTTGAATCCAAGGGAAACAGTCAGGAAAGAGAATTGCCAGGGAAGGGTCCTGGGAAACATCCGCCAACCCAAATGCTGGGCTCAAACCTGGGCCCTTGCTGGTCAGGAGCAATGCTCAAACCGCGTGGGCTTTGGAAACCAAGTTTAGAAAAATTAAGGGTTACAAACTGATTCCATTTTCACGCTCTGCATTACGTTTATATTTTCACTGGAGTGTTGCCTGATTATTTATTTATTTTTTATTTTTTTATTTATATTTTTTTACAAAGACCACTTAAATGCCAAACATGAGATGCAGCTAGGGGAAGCACGCACAACCTGATTATTGCGAAAGCATGAAACTCAAGAGTAGCGACTATTATTTTACTACTGCCTTGCTTGCCCTTGTTGTTCTCTATTTTCAAAGTGTCTTACCTTGGTTGCTGTGCTCTGCACTTCACACTCTCTTCCCGGGCTATACATCTCCTCTTTTGGGGTTCATGTCCTCTTTGGGTTGTTTCCACAGCTTGTTGCCGTCTGACGATAGTGACATTTATAATGCTGTACACACACATACACATACAACACATACACATGCAACGCATGCACATACGAACACATAGTTATATACACACAAACACATTTTCTCTCAAACACGCGTACACGTGCTCATACATGCCCCCCCCCCCACACACACATAATGGAAAGAGCAGGCACATTGGTATGAGAACTAAGCGTTGCATGTAATCAGCAACAATGTGAAATTTATAGAAAAAAAGGACCAAGGAACTTCAGGGCTCACGGTTGTGTACAAATACATGGGCGCCATTTTGTTTCTGGCCAGCTCACGCGACGACAGGTCGATTGTCACGCGATGACAGCTCGACCACCCCTTGTACACAAACTCTAGCCATCTCGCAGCGCATTTTCAGTGCGACACATGCCTCTTCAAAATAGAGTAAGGTATCACGGGTAGACAGTACGACACTGAAAATTTGGCTGGAACCAGGCAAGATATGAACTAGGGGGTCAACTGAAAGAATATTTGATTTTGTCCCCAGGACACTGAAGGTATAGTCACAAAGTCCGTCAATTGTCTTCAGCGATCCCTTGATTTAGAAAAAAATAGCTCCGGTTAAACTATAGCTTAGCATCTACTGAAGATTTTGAGCCATCGATTTTCAAAATCGGTTAAGTCAGCAGCTGCATCTGCAAAGCAAGTACAGAGACAACAGACTCAGTATCAAAAGAAGAAACAAGTAGCTGTGAAATCCTCCAGGATACCTGGCAAGCGTGAACACACACCGGAGTTTATGGCAGGTGTCTGGTTCCTAAGAGCATCGTGTCTCCTAAGCAATCAGAAAGCTGCACTGGCTCTCCACCTAGCCCACCAACAATTTACGGGTGAAGAGCCAGGGAAGGACTTAGGACCCTACATCACCCCAGCAACAATTTCCGAGTGGAATGTGCTGCTTGGAGAGGTGGATAAGCAAGTCTTGAGGGAGGAGCTGCAAAGCAGTTCATCTGACATCAACGTATTCGCTGATGATTCCAATAAGCGCGGTCAAGACCGCCACATTGTCGGCATCCATACCCGGAGCGAGAAGGAAAAACAGCCCGTAACATTGTGTGTTAGCCAACACACTTGTGGCCAGCAGAAGTGGCAAGAATCAAGCCAACACTGACTATCGTGTGCTGAAGGAGGTATACGGCGTATCCTCGATTAGTATTGTAGTTGGCGACAATGCCTCGATACAGTCTGGTGGCAAGAAAGGTCACGCGGTTGAGCTTGGTGCTCTTTTCAACACAGAGCCAACTTTCGTCGGGTGCTACCCGCATATATTGAACATTGCTCTGAGGAATTGCATGGTCGAAGCTTTCGGCCTGAGAGGTACCATGACCTCATTCAATTTATTTCAGCTCCATTACAAAGTAGGGTATGTTCGCCATGCGAAACCGACGTATTACAAATCTCTATATGTTTTAGAAAAAATACTGAGCACACCACCACCTCTTCCGCAGGAGTTTGTAGAGACCAGGTGGTCCTACATACATGCTTAACTCCCCCGGTGGAATAAGTACGGACATGCGTGCGTCAAGCTTTGCCACAAGGCACTGGAATACCTCCCGGAGTCAGATAGCCACCATTCAATCGGGACGGAAATAGTGGAGATGGCAGCCAGTTTTGAAATTACCGTCCACCGGGTCCTCTTGTTGGAGATGCTGGATGGCCTGATCATGCCCGGTCTACACGACTGCCAGAAGAGTGACGAGGAGCTCGAGTTCGGCAGCAGTTCCTGGCTCGAGCATGGCCAGTGAGAGTCATCATGGATTTAAACTTGGCCAAACTCATGGTTACCGAACCTGAGTTTGCGTTACCGCTCACAGCTGCTGCCATGGAGACTCTACCTCCTGACCTCCAGCAGAATGTTCTGGTAACGCAGGTGAAGCTGTTTGTCGAAGAGTGTATGAAGACGCTGGAAAAACATGCCACACGCTGGCACAAGTTTCCCCTGTTGTTCGCACTCAGTGCTGATAGCACGGCAGGGCACTATTTCTGGCGCGCTGTCCCTGGTATGCTTGGTCTGAGGGTAGAAGGTGTCGAATTTCCAGCTCCTGCCGGCCTGAGTGCTGATGTCTTTGCAGAATTGGTTGCATTGGCTTTGTCCAAGACAAGCCCGCAGAAATGGCAAATAGCAGCATCGCAGCGTGGCATATTGCCTCTCCGAGACTACTTGCTACTTGTTCACACGTTTGCGTTACCCTTTGCTATACCCAATTATTTGTTGTTGTTGTTGTTACTTTATTTTACTTCACCAGAATTACAGGCAGTGTATATTGTGTTTAGTAACACGACCAGCTGAAGACACTTATAAAAGGGTCACTGCCATGTCTGAGATACAATGCGTAGGCAGATGCAGCGCCTAGCAACAAGGGTCCTAGCAACAAGGGTCCTAGCAACGAGGGTCCTAGCAACGAGGGTCCTAGCAACAAGGGTCCTAGCAACGAGGGTCCTAGCAACGAGGGTCAGGTGGTGAGTGGCCAAGTAGTAACGGGAATGTTTCAGAAGGGAGGGAGAGGTGATCTAAATGACCCTCACCAAAAGTTATGATAAACATATCATTTTGAAATACCACACATGCGTGAAATGTACAGTCAGACCTCGCATAACCGCACACATCCGTTTTCCACGAAAAATATCCGGATAGGCGAGGGAACAGGATAATTGAACACACATACTGTATGTGTACATGACACATGCTGTAAATCGGTAACCAACGATTTTCTTCCGGACGGCGAGGGATCCAGATAAAAGACTGGGTATAAGCAGCGAGGCGTGACTGTAGCAGAAAATGTACTGAACTCTCTGCTAATTGTTCTGCCATCATTATCCGCCAAGGGCCACTCACCACCTGACCCTCGTTGCTAGGACCCTCGTTGCTAGGACCCTTATGGCCGGCACTTCCTTGAATTCTGTTCCATTTCTTTACCCACATACCAAACATGCATGAAACATACCAACAAAAGAACCAAATTCTGCCGTAAAAGCAAAAAAAGAAAAAAGATACGACGAAGATGGGATTCGAACCCACGCGGGCAGAGCCCAATGGATTAGCAGTCCATCGCCTTAACCACTCGGCCACCTCGTCGTTCCTGGTTAGACAAATCGACGCAATCATTGTTGTATGTCCAGGACCAGCCTGCGTCACGTGCATGACAGTATCCAGACATATGCACATACAAGAAACCTGAAAGAAATTTGAATTACTTAAAGCAAAAAAAAGAAAGAGATACGACGAAGATGGGATTCGAACCCACGCGGGCAGAGCCCAATGGATTAGCAGTCCATCGCCTTAACCACTCGGCCACCTCGTCCTTCCTGGTTAGACAAATCGACGCAATCATTGTTGTATGTCCAGGACCAGCCTGCGTCACGTGCATGACAGTATCCAGACATATGCACATACAAGAAACCTGAAAGAAATTTGAATTACTTGCTTATCTCCCACGCACTTTTTGACAGGTAAAACCCAGTCCAATCACCATATCTAACTTACTTTTGCTTGGGAGGTTGTGATGGCAGTATAAGAGGGGGCACCAAAGTCAAAGAAAAATGATCGCGACTAGCGCTTTTAATCGCGATGTGTTCGATTTTTTTGGGAAGTGGGAATCTGTCTGTGTTGCCAAAAAAATCCAAGCGCAGCGACCCGAAGACCGAAACTGAGGTAGGACGTAGGGGCAACTGACATCCTGGAGAGCGTGACAGGCACACGGGTGCATGGCAGAGGAGTATGAGCGTCATGCTGAAGAAGAAAGGTGCTTTTGATGATGCGCCAGGCCGGCCAACGTGTTGGTTGTCCCTTCACTTTGT